CCCCCCCCCCCCCCGGGTGGAGAATGGAGCAGGGTGGAGTGTGCACAGCTCACGCACCGCAGCCCTACCCCTGGTTCCTTATCCTCCTTACCGCTGGGTTGCCGGCTCATCAGTTACTTCCAGAAATGCTCTGTCACAAAACCTGTGTGTGTGTGTGTGTGTGTGTGTGTGTGTGTGTGTTAAAGTAACACTGCTTCAGGCTGTATTTGTTTGTGGTGTTCTCCCCCTTTTCTCCTTCTCTGCCCCTTTTTGCTTTCTTTCTCTCTTCCCTGCTGCCTCAGGCTTCCCCCATCAGCCTCAGAACCTTGACCCAGTGGTGTACGCTCTCTGAATATTTTAGGGGTCCCGAGGGGGCTTTCAGAATTGGACCCGACCTACCAATCCTCCCTCCCCCAGAGTAGTGCTCACAGACACCCCCTTTCGGCCTGTAAATTTGGGGAGGGCGCTTGGGGACTCCCTGAAGGGCCAGCCACAGGTCTGGGCCTAAGAGCCTCTGTTCACATGTCTCCCTGCGTGATGAGACCATTAGGCCCTTGAGAGCAGACACCGGGCCTGCAGTTTCTTTGCAGCATCTCAGCCCAGTGGGCCCTGCTGACTTTGGAGACCCCAGCGGCAGACCAGGGGGCTTACAAATGCCGGACTGTGGGGTGAATTTTCAACCTTGCCCCAGCTCAGAGCCCACCTGCTGTGGTCTGTCCAGGTTCTCTGTCCGTCTCCCTCCATCTCCCCCAACACCCTTTCCTCCTGAGATGCATTAAAATGGTGTTAAAAAAAATCCACCCGAGAGCTCATCTCTGTCTGCTAGAAAATGCCACCCACTCATGCTTCTCTCTCTCCTCCAAATAACTTGTCAAAAAAAAAAGAAAATGCCTTTCCCAAATTTCCAAATTTAAAAACTTGCAAAAGGTGGTACAACAAAGGTACCCCAATTCTTCCTCCCAGGTGCCATCCCAGTGTGTGTGTTTTGTCGGTGAAACCTGTGGCTTGAGGAGCCAGCAGGCAGCAGTGCCAGGCGGAGGAGGGTGCAGAGGGCTCTGCTGCAGGCTGGGATGTGGGCAGAATAGTGGAGACCCCAACCGCAGGGGCCTCAGCATCACAGCACCCAGCCGCCTGCTGCCGCAGACGGAGGCCAGGGGATGCAGCTGCTTCAGGGTCCCACCGTGAAAGGGTGGCAGAGCCCAGGTGGGACCTGGCCGTTCCTCCGATGTCAGCCTTTGCCGCCTCTGCCGGCAGCTCATCCTCAAGGGCAGGGCCTTGGCAGGTCTGGCCCAAAACACCCACGGGAGTCTGGCCACCAGCTGGCTATGTCCTGTCCCAGGGGTTGCTGGGAAGGTGGTGGCGTCGTGGTGGCCCAAGGGAGAGGGCAGCTGCATCAGCAGGGCTCCCCCGAAAGCATGTGCCCGGCAAGTCACAGCAGAATAAATTAGCCTGACCAGGTTTCCTGCGTCTCGGGGATCCCCTCACCTTCCCTCCCTGCTCAGGAGCGTAGCCCTGGCCTCTCCCAGTGCAGCCCTGCACCTTCCTCCTCTCCCCGGCCTCTGCTGGAATGACTTCACCTTCTCATTTCTCCTCCCCGCCTTCTTTTCTCTCCGCAGAGGCCATTAACTGCTTGATGAGAGCAATTGAGATATACACAGACATGGTAAGGGTCACTGCGTGTCCTGCCCACCCCGTTCCAAGTCCTACCACATTGCCCCAGCCTCCCTTCTCCGGCCCTGAGAGCAGGCGGGAGACTGGCAGGGTGAGGGGTGTCACCGGAGCCGGGCTGGGCTGGCTGGGTCCTCATGCAGCTCCTCACCAGCCTGGCTCCTGGTGGCAGCTCCCAGCACGTCACAGGGGCTGGCGGCCCCTCCCCAGGTCCTGCCTCTGGCCCCCCACAGGCCGTCGTTGTCCTCACTCGTAGACGTCACTGCTGTTGGGGTCCTCGCGTATCCGGTGCGTTTCCCCTTACCCAGACACCCCCCACCAGCGTCCCATTTGATTTGGGGAGGCTAGGCAGGGCCCAGGGTCAGCTCAGCCCCTGCCCTGCCCCCGGGAGCATCCCCATCGACAGATGAGGTCCAGAGAGGCGGCTGCTGACCTGAGGCCAGGGAGCCAGGACAGTGGACCAAAGCCAGACCCTGGCTCCTGTCAACTCCACTTTTTGCCCCTTCGCACTCTACCTTTGTCAGACCCCTCCCTTGGGCAGGAGCGTGGGCCCTGCCTCCTGCCGGGTCCAGGGCCGTGCTGTAGTAGTGTCCTTATAGCAGTGGTAGCAGCTGCCATGTATTGAAGCAGATGCTCTGAGCTGGGTGATTTAGTCTCCCCTACAGCAGCCCCGCGAGGTGGGCACTGTTGTCATCCCGTTTGACAGTCAGGAAAGAGGGTCCCAGACAAGAGACGTGACTCGCTCAGGGCCCCACACCTACCAACAGGAGTCGCTGAGACCCAAAACTAGTCCTGGCTGAGCCCAGGGCCTTGCCCCTTCCTGCTCCCCTCGGCAAGGAGGTAGCCATGGACCAGGCTCGTGTGTGAGTGGTGGGCCAGGCATCTGGACCCCCACCGGGTGGAGGCAGGTAGGAGGTGCTCAGCCCCTCTGGGAGCTGGAAGGCATCCTTGGGGAAAGCCCTGGGCGCCTGCAGGGGAAGCTGGAGGGCAGGGGTTGACCTGTGAGAAGGGCTGTGTGGCCACACCGGACAGGGAGGCCGGGAGGGAGGCTGTCTCTTACACAGCGGGGAGCCTGTACCAGGTGACTCTGGGTTGGTCCTTCCGCCTCTCTGGACCATCTGTCACATGCCTCCTTGGGCCAGAGCTTCTGGCAAGTCCCTGTGCAAACGTTACCTCGGTGTTGCCCCCATCTGCCTGTGTCCCCATGGAGACTGGATGTGGAGGGACATGCCCACTGTCACCCAGTCAGGGCAGCACTCGGACCCAGGCCGCTCATGCTAGAGCCTCCCTTTTGAGCTCCGTGCCCCTCTGTCTCTTGGGACCTTCTTCTGCACACCTCCCCTCCCAGGGGCAGCTGAGGGCTGAGGATCCAGCTTCGGGGACCCGGAGGGGTGTGGTTGAGCTGGGACGGGGCACTCAGGACGCCCTTGTCCTGAGGACTCCTTCCGACGTCTCACCCAGGGCCGGTTCACCATCGCAGCCAAGCACCACATCTCCATCGCTGAGATCTACGAGACGGAGCTGGTGGACATCGAGAAGGTCAGTGGCAGGTGGGGCCTGGCCAGTGGCCAGGGAGGGCTGCCTCAGCCAGTCCTCTGAGACCAGGACAGGAGCACGGGGCACCGGCAGAGCCTGAGTTAAGGGCTCCGGTGAGTCCCGGGCCATATTGCGCCCAAAGGTGATGAAGGCTGCATTGGCCCCTCTCCCTCCCCACACCGCCCGTGTCTCCCCAGGCCATCGCCCACTACGAGCAGTCTGCAGACTACTACAAAGGCGAGGAGTCCAACAGGTACCCCTCCTGCCTGCCCCAGCCCCTCGGTGAGGGCCCCAGACCCTGCTACCACCGACCTCCCCCCTCTCTGCCCCATTCAGCTCTGCCAACAAGTGTCTGCTGAAGGTGGCTGGTTACGCGGCACAGCTGGAGCAGTATCAGAAGGCCATTGACATCTACGAACAGGTGGGGGCAGGCGGGGCGGGCACGGCGCCCCATCCTGCCTGCCAGTGCCCCTCATCCTGTCTCTCATCCTCTCCAGTGCCCTGCCCTCCCCCCCATTCTCTGCACTTCCCTCAGTCATCCCCACGCCCTCACCCTGTGCTCCACCTGGCTGAACACTCTCGCCACCCACGACCCCATGCAGTGTCACCGCCCTCTTCCTAGACAGGCCCTTCCCACACTCCTCACAGGGCACTTCCCAGGTGGCCCCAGCGTGAGGCCAACTCTGAAGAACCAGAGTCAGGGAGAGAGTGGGAAGAATTGCGAGGCCCGGGGTAGCCAGAGGCAGCTGAGGAGCCTGCTAGAAGGGGCCCGGGAGGGGATGTCCCCTGGGTATGCAGGCTCCCCTCTGCTGGGCGGGGAGGGCTGGGGCGGGGGTGCCCGGCCGCCCTGGTAGGCTCAGCCTGGCCAGGAGAAAGGCAGGCAGCTGGCCTCGGAGGAGAGGGGGGCGGGCGCCGCCTCTCGTGTTCCCGCAGCCTGCCACCCCTCTGCCCACCGATGTGCCAGCCTCCTGTCGGGCCTGACAGCAGGGCCGCCTCTCCCTCCACCATCGCGGGCGCCTTGGGAAGCCCACGGACACCTGGCCTCAGCCCTGTGGCTACACCCCCACTCCTCATCATGCCCTGGTCCTCGGTCACTCACAGACCGGTTGCTGACTTCCCCAGGGCTGGTCTCTCTTCTCCCTGCCCTCGGGGTCCTGGGTTAACAGGGCCCCACTGGGGAACAGACCCACTTCCCAGCTGGCCCCCAAGTGCCTGGCGGTGACCCTGGCCCTCTGGCTGCCCACCTCCTCGTGCTTGCAGGTGGGGACCAATGCCATGGACAGCCCGCTGCTCAAGTACAGCGCCAAGGACTATTTCTTCAAGGCGGCTCTCTGCCACTTCTGCATCGACATGCTCAACGCCAAGGTGAGCCCAGGCCCAGGGGCCCACCCAGAGCTTACCCCACCCCCCACACAGGGTGACTGCCCTTGGAGCACAGGGTCTGTCACTAGGCCGGGTCGCCTCTAAAGCCCTTTGGAGGGTAAGCCCCTCACTCACATCTGGCCCCTGGCATTCGGCCTTTGGGCGGGAAATGCTTGTTTCTATCCCTGATTTCACTCGCTCAGTCCCTGTAGCCTTTGAGTTTCCAACTCCCGACTTGCTTAGTGCCAGGCTTTTTCTTTTGTGGGAGCACTTTTTGAGTCCTTACCGCACTCCATGAGGTTGATACCATGGTCACCCCATTTTACACATGAAGACACTGAGGCTGAAACCAGAGTCCCTTGTTCAAAGCACATGGCTAGTAAACTGAAGCCCCAGGATTCCAGATCTTTCTGACTCCCAGTGTCATGATTTGAACCAGAGCCTAAATGCCAGGCCCGCTTGTTCTCAGGGCTTCTTAGCAAGAGAGGGATCAGGGCTGGGTGAGAGGTTGGAGAATGGCCAGGGAGAGGAGCTGGGTTCTGCTGGCGTCTGGGATTTCTTGGGGTCTCCAGCTGCCCCATCCTCAGCCACATGGTGTGTCTGAGCCCCACCCTTGCTCCCTTTGCCGGCATCCGGCAGGGCAGGTGAGAGCTTGGGCTTTGGGGTCAGGCCAGTTCAGATCCCCAGCACGTCCCCTGTGCCCTGAGCAGGTCACTACCATCTCTGGATCTGTTTTCTACTTTCAAAATAGGGTCACCACCGTTTGACCCTCCCGGGTCCTCGTGAGGGTTAAACGTGAGAAGTGCCTGGCGTCAGGCGTGACACATAGGATGTGCTGTTATGAGGCAGTACCAGGCAGTTGTTGCCATTGCCCCTACCCTGGGTGGACCGGGTGCAGGAGAGGCACTGAGCACCGGCCTGGGGAACCCTCCTCCCTCCCCCAGGCCCCCGCCGCCCCCCGTCCCCTGCAGCTGTCTCTGCAGCCAGGCTTGCACTGAGCTCAGCTCCGTGAAGCTGCCGCCAAGCACGGAGCCCAGTGTCACTGGAGGCTGGGGGGGTGGCGCAGACAGCTGACTCGGGGCCAGAGCGGCCCCCGATCCCCTCGGCTGCCGGGCCAGCTGCTCCGAGGGCCCTTCTTTATTAACTTGTCCCCTTCATCCTTCTCTCCACCCTCGCCGACACTCAGCTCGCTGTCCAGAAGTATGAGGAGCTATTCCCTGCGTTCTCCGACTCTCGGGAGTGCAAGCTGATGAAAGTGAGTGCCAGGGGCTCAGGCCACCCCTTTCCTGCATCTGCGCTTGGAGCAGGGCGTGTGGATGGGAATCTGGAGGCTTGGCTCTGGTTAGCACGATCACCGAGATTTGTACAGTACTTTTCAAGGGTCTTTTGTTTCCCCCTCGTCTGCCATTTGGGTCACCAGTTTCTGGATGAGACAAGTAAGATTCAGTCAACGATGGAGCTGGGGGCAGAGCTGGGAGGCTGCGGGATCTCACACTCACACAGGCACGCGTGCACACGTGATATTCTGTGTCAGTGACTTTCTGATGCGGAGGGCAGGGTTGGAACACAGCCCCTTCCTTCCTGTCAGCATGGGAGTCCCCCCAGCTTTCACTCACCCAGATAGTGTGTGTGTGAATCTCATCCAGGTCAGGCCTCAGGCCAGCCTGGGCCCCTGAGCCCTGCCTGCCATTCTCTTGCAGAAATTGCTAGACGCCCACGAGGAACAGAACGTGGACAGCTACACCGAGGCGGTGAGTGGCTGGCAGGGGTGGCTACCCTTGTCAGATGTGGTCCCATGAATTTCACCCTTTTTTTTTTTTTTTTTTTGCGGTACGCGGGCCTCTCGCTGTTGTGGCCTCTCCCGTTGTGGAGCACAGGCTCCGGATGTGCGGGCCCAGCCGCTCCGCGGCACATGGGATCTTCCCGGACCGGGGTATGAACCCGTGTCCCCTAGCATCGGCAGGAGGACTCTCAACCACTGCGCCACCAGGGAAGCCCAATTTCACCCTTTTTTATCTCCAGTCCCGGCCCCTGGCCATGAACTCCTTTCTCCAGCCGTTCCAGAATCCTCACAAGTAGCCCCAAGAGGTGCGGGGAGTGTTCTCCCCGTTTTAGAGACGATAGCACTGAGGCCTCTCGGGGCCAGAGCTGGGCTTGGAACCCATATCTGTCTGCTCCTGAAGGCCAAGGTCTTAGCAACACTCTGAGTCCCCCGGGGTGAGCAGTTAAGGCTGTCTCACATCGGGCACTTTGGGTGGTCCTGGATGTGCAGGGAGGGAGGGAATGAGTCGCATCATTCCCCCTCCCCTCCCCGACAGCAGGAGGGAGGAGGAGCAAAGGGTGCCAGAGAGGCAGCATTGGGAGGGTCCACCTTTCCGGCAGCTTAGAACCCCGATAGAACCGCCCCATGGAGATGTTTCTCCCTTTCCTTACCCTATTCTGAGCTTTCTGGAACTCAGTTACATCCAGCTTAGGCCCACATTAGGTCCTCCAGACTGTATCTGTCAAGCATGTCTCTCCCTGGGTGCCCATCACCAATCGTAGGCCTCTGAATGATGACAGAGCCCAAACTCGTCAGGTCCATCCCGCCGCTTCTTCATGTCTCCAGGCCTCAATTTCCCATCCGTAAAACAAGAAAACTGGACTTTTTTTTTTCAGCCATAAAATCTTTCTTCCCCCCAAGGGAAGCTTCACGCCCAGGCCAGTAAAGACACAGAAGGGAGCCGCCCCAGCTTGGGTCGGGCCCCACGCCTCCCCTTGCTCCTCCTTGGGGACTGAGGCTGACAGGGACACACCTGGAGGCTCTTGGGAACAGAGACTGTGGGCTAGGGTTGGTGGCGGGGCGGGGAGCCGAGGCCAGGCGCGGGGTGGGCCGCCCCTCCTGACCCCGGTCCCCGGCGCACAGGTGAAGGAGTACGACGCCATCTCCCGGCTGGACCAGTGGCTCACCACCATGCTGCTGCGAATCAAGAAGACGATCCAGGGCGACGAGGAGGACCTGCGCTAGGCCCGCCTGGCCCCCGGCCCCCTTCTCCCTGCCCCGTCCGCTCTTGCCCCAGCCTGGCCCTCCAGTGAGGATAGCGAAGAGCCCAGAGAGGTGGGGCCCGAAACGTTGGCTGCGAGACCTTCCCCCCTCCCCGCCAAAGAGT